ACTTTAAACTCACATATCTTTCTTTCTATTTTGTCAAATCTGAATTTATTTTTCAAGATTTCACGAGAAAGCATTTTGTTTAATATCTTTATCAATGATATTGATGAGGGAGTCAAGTGCACTCTCAGCAAATTTGTAGATGATGCCAAGTTGGGCAGGAGTGTTGATCTCCTTGAGGGTGGGTTAGCTCTGCAGAGGAATCTGCATAGGCTGAATCGATGGGTTGCATTTAATTGTATGTCTTCAGTAAGACTAAATGCCAGGTGCTCCATGTGCTTGATAACATCTCCAGGCAGTGGTGTAAGCTCAGGGAAGTGTGGCTGGAAAGTTGCCTGACAGAAAAGGACTTGAAGGTGCTGGTCGACAGCCAACTGAACATAAGCCAGCAGTGTGCCCAGAGGGCCAAGAAGGTCAATGGCACCCTGGCCTGCACCAGAAATAGCATGGTCAAAAGGCCAAGGGAAGTGATCGTCCCCCTATATGTGGCACTGATGATGCCACATCTTGAGTACTGTACTCAGTTTTGAGCCCCTCAGTACAAGAAAGATATTGAGTTACTGAAACGTGCACAGAAGAGCAACGATGCTGGCAAAGGGACCAAGCCAGGTGAGAAGCAGCTGAGAGAATTGGGCTTATTCAGTCTGGAGGAGGCTGAGTGGAGACTACATCACTTTCTTACAACTACGTGAAAGGAGGCTACACTGAGGTGATTGTTGGCCTCTTTACTCAAGGGAATGTGTGGCACCGGGAGAGGTTTCAACTGGGTATCAGGAGGAATTCATTAGCGGAGAGGTTGGTCAACCTTTGGAACAGGCTGTCCAGGGAGGCAGTAGAGTTGCCATCTCTGGAGATATTTAACAGACGTGCGGATGTAGCAGCTGGGGACATGGCTTATTGGTGGACTTGCAGTGTTAGGTTGCTGACTGGACTTCATGATCTTGAATATCTTTTCTAGCTTAAATGATTCTCTGATTTTGTTATAGACGTGTAATGCTCTCCTTTCAGCCACTCACCTTCAGTTCTATTTCAGAACATTACTTCAGAGCCTTGTAGTAGGGCAGTCATTTGAAAAGGGAAAGTGAGAGCATGAGGAGCTGAAGAGGGTCAAGTACAGCAGGCATCTTATAGGATTTGGGCAAAAGAGCACAGTTTATATAACCTCAGCAGTGATTATCTGATATGAGCTGCTAGGGGCATCTGCAGAAGCAGAAGTCTAAGCAATTAGATAACTTCCAAGTTAAATGTGAAGGCATACGGTGACCTGAGATGGTCCCAGTGTTAAGCACACACACAAAAATGTGCCTCTGTTTATTTGCCTCAAATATGTCTATGATCTTTACTGGATCAAGTCCAGGGAGAAGTGCTGTAAAACACATATTCTGCTTCTGACCACATTCACAATGCAAACACTGCTCACAGCTCTTAGTACTGTTATTGGCTATGTAGTGTTATTACAGATACCAGAACAGATCCTGAATATAATGTAAGAAAAATCCTTAAAATTTACATAGAAACTAGATTTAACGTATAAGTTTGACTACACCGTGTCTAACTCTTGCATTATATCCAGTTATCCATTATATTTTCTTAAATAAAAACTGGCACTGGTATATAACTTTGTCACTTTCATTAACATCAATCAGTGTAGATCAGCCAGTTTGCTATTTTTATGTATAAAAATAGAATAACCTTCCAACTCAGCAAATGCTTTTCTTTGCTCTACCATATAACTTCACTGCTGTTAAATAAGAGAAGGCACTACTCACTTTCTTCCTCAAATATTTTTCTGCACTGATGTATCTGTAAATTACTTTATAATTCCCCATTTCCTTTGTTAGCACAAAGTAATTAAACTAATCCATCCTCTGTAAACCTCAGTTGACTCAGTGTCCTTTTTTTTCATTGCATCCTTTTTTTTTTTTTTTTTTTTTTTGGCATTTTTTCTTAACTTCTAATCCTCAAATCTACATCTGAAACTTTGTTTTCCACACCAGTTCTCAGTCATCCTTTGGCTGCAGTCTTTTTTGGCTCTTGCAGCCAACTAGCACAGTGATGAAATCTTGGTTCTCATGAAATCAGACTGACAGTCTCCACCTAAACCCATTATTTACATAGATGAGTTTCAATAGCACTTGTGTACAGTCTCCAGTTTCTCATTAAGTAAGAAATACTATGATAAGGAAAGGTTTTTCTGCAGGACAACAGAAACAGTCATGGTTTATTAAAGCACTCTGGATGCGGCCTTGCTGCCTCTACAGAAGTCAAAAGGAGGTAAACTCTTTGCATCTTCCCTGAACATGACATCAACCTGCTCTGCACTCAGCCTTTTTTATGTAAATAGACCTTGGACCCTCGCATACTGCTAGCATGTCGTGCTGGGTTCAATTCACTTACTGACCACAATGTTCAGTATCTGCTGTATTACATACGAAGATGCAGAACTAATGGTTTCCTGTTGAGAGCGTGTTAACTTGATGTGCTCCCATAAACACACTACGAAGTATTCAACATCCCATCTCCACTGCTCCTCTTCCATTCCTGGCAAAACTGGAGCCCTAAAAAACCCCACCACAACCCTGAAATGCTTTTATAATCCAACAACAGAACCATCCTACATTTTGGTTCTGCTCCCAGGACTGTCTGCAGTCTCTGTCTAACCTGGAATGCAGAAATAGTCTAACAGTCAATGACACATAAATACAATTTTAAAGCATCTACATAGATATTGTTTTGCTGGTATTTGTAAATCCTACATTTGGCGCCATTTCATTAACTAGCAGTTAAAGTTCAGTTAACATTAACTAAAACATTACTTTTCAGCACATGCTCATGACCAATAATTCAAGTGCTCCACTGTTAAAGAACCTTTCCTAAACCTGTCATCTTCCTGATCAGATCCTATACTTATTCACGGATGCGGTAGCAAATGAATTATGTATACTACCTTTACTTTCATCTGTGTAAGTCAAAGTGTATGCTTTTGGTCTTACACTTCGCAAAGTTCCTGTTTTGACAGTATTCCCTGTGATAATTTACAACTCTGTCAATTTCTACGCTTTGCAATTTAGCTACTGTGCTATCTATTCTCGTAGTGGTTTAAAGTGTTTTCTCATCTCTCCCAGATGAAAAATTGTAGTATAAACCTTGGCTGCTGCCAGCAGCAGCACAGTGTAAGCTGAATATTGTACTGGCCTGACATCTACTTGCCATACTCTCACTCTTTTCCACATTTTAGGTTGCTATTGCACCACTGATACACAATAAAAATGCCAGCAAAATCTAAAAACTTTTAAAGAGAATACAAAATCATTATATAGGCAGTGGAGAGAAGTATAGACTAATCTCCATTTTCTACAGTTATTCCAAAGCTAGAACAAAATATTAAGAATTTTACCTCACCATTAAACTCTTGGTTCCATTTCAGAGTCCATGTGAAATGTTTCTTTGTCTGAGTGTATGCTTATACATACACCAAAAAGCTGCCACTACACTTTGCATATACAAAAACACGCCTGCATCTTAAAGAACAACAAAAAAATCTCAACTAGAAGCCCCTACTTCCTTTTTAAAGGCTGTCTTTGAAAATTTAACCTGGTTTTTTTTTTTTTTTTTTTTTTTTGCTTTACTTATAAGCAACAGCATCTCTCATAGATGAAGAAATCAGCCATCATCTCTGACAAAAAGAAATTACTGTAGTGGCTAAGCTAAGTGGACAACAGTTTTGCTGCTAGCTCTGCCACTGTGCAAGCTATCCACTCTTCCATTTGCAATATGGGCAAAACATGACAGACCTTACCTGCTGGGTGTTTTGAGATTGACTTACACCTAGCATTTGTCACAGGCAAATATCACTTAACGCTAGGCAACCAACCAAAACATTTTTTAAGTGTGCCTACCTGCAATGATACAGGCAAGACTGGACACCCCTTCATCTGTTAGATCTAAGGCCTTCAAGTGAAGAAATAAAAGTTTGTACCTAATTGTACTTGATGACAGGATAAAGTTGTGTATTATTAACCAGGTAATCAGACTTACTGTTAATAGCTGATATAACTCATTGCATGTCAGTGATTTTTTACCTCAAGGAGTAAGCAAATTGGTTGAAATTATTAAAAACCAAAATAAAAGACTGATAGAACAGATCAGCCTAAAACTTTTAAAACCATGTATCTGTAGTCTGTAAGAATTCAGTACCAAAACCCACATTTCTCAAAAAAAAATTCATTTAACTGGGCTCTTCAGAAGGTTCTGTGCAAACCCTCCAAACATAACTATTAAGGAATCTAATTGGGCATGGAATGAGAATTTAAAGTTATGTGCATGAAGCAAGTCATGAGAATGGTCAGCTTTCAGCCTGCATTAAAAATCAATTGCCCTAAGGATTTATATTGAAACAGTATTACTTCAGATATTTGTTAATCTGTAAAGAGAGGCACTGCGCGCTCGCAGCATCTATGGACAATAACAGCACCAGAGTAGAACAATAAAAGATGAAAGTTAGAAGAATAACTCAAGATAATAATAAACTGCTCATACACTCCAACGTTTTTTGGGACTGGAATTCACAGGAGAAGGATTAATGAAAATCGCACAAAACCAAAGTACTGCAAACATACAGAAAGCTACAAGAATACTGGACAGACAACAGTTGGAGCAGTATTCAAGAGACGATAACATACAGTTACAGAAGGAGCTAAGGTCAAGGATATATAACAGACACTTCATTACTTAATAATATCCATGAGAAGATGAGTAATTTTAACGTAGGTTTTGATTTTGCTCTGATTTATCTAATGCTACCAACATAACAACAATAGGATAAGATGAACTTCTGAGGTGCAGTACCTTGTAATTCATGTTCCTACAATAGGGAAACATATTGCATCACAAGATCTGATAATTTATTTCAGTTCTGTAGTTTAATGAAGCTACTGTTCTGCACTGCAACTTTCCCATTCTGTATAGGTTGTTTGCACTACAGACTGAATGCAAGCAGATTATATATTTAAAATGTATTTTAATGTATTATTTAAAAAATCCAGAAATGCTTATTTTACACAGATCTAACTTGCACAGCAATTCAAATTACTCTAAGTTACAAAATGTATTATAATCAACCTAAGCAAATTGTTCAGGTACAATCTGCAGGATGACTCTTATGAAAACAAAGCCAACACCATATAAGTCATCACACACACACACAAAAAAACATTTTGAACTTGAAGGTACTGTTTCCATATAGTTGTAGGAAAAAATATTTATTCTTAAAATGAAGCATACTCGAACATATTTGCATATTTTCTGTTATGGAGTTTGATTTTCCTTGTTCAGTTCCTCATTGCCAACATGGCATTTATGTCCCAAATGAGATTCCGTAACTGATCCATGATCTGCTTCAGTTGCTGATTCTTCAGTTTCAGTTTCTGTGGGAAGATTTTATGAGAAGATTTTTGTCATCAGTTGAAACAGTACACTCAGGATTTCAAGAAAAGTTAGTGTTACGAAATGCTATATGTATCTTTTTGTCAGCTGTCTGTGAGCAATATTAGATAATACATCTTCTTGAAAGCACACTCTTAAAATACAAGAAAGACTCAGAAGTTAAAGACCTTTGTTAGAGAGGAATGCTGTTTCTTTTCACAGCGCTCTTTTATCAAAACACTTGATCCCTTCAACAAGAGCAAGCTTGTGGCCATTGGCCCTCTAACCAAAGTCCAAAGGACAGCACTTGATGCAAAGAGAAGGAAGTGAAATTTGAGACCAGAAGAGCTCAGGGAACAGCTAAATTTATGCTAATATGCACTGTATAAGCTGGGTGCTCAGAAAAGCAAGGTATTAAAAGTCAAAGTCTGAAAAACCACAAAGTCAATCAAGCTTTTCTACACCTTCTGCCTACATTGGTCAATTCTGATGAGCTACGTGATGCTGTCCTCCCAAGTATGCTGAATGCTATACAACTGTGTACTTGCTGCAAAAACATCTGAAGGGACAGAAGAGTAGAAAATGCACTTTCATCTGAGGAACCAGAACTTAAAAATGATGTCTACAGAAGATCAGTGCATTAAGCCAATGCAGAATATTCCTAACTGTTCATGTTTCACAGTAATACACATATTTATTATCCAATTTATCCATTTTCCTGCTCAAATCAAAGCTGCCAAGTAATAAGTTAGTGTGTATTGTTAACAACAAGCCCATGCCCTTCATTCCGTTCAAATTTGATATAAAGTCAGCCTCATCACATCAGAGATAGAATTCATAAGGGAAGCCCAGATTTCTAAGTAAAGCCAAAGCACAGGAAAGACTTGCTGCCATTCAAAATGTCTCAGGTTTTACATCACTTTGTTTCTTCTGTACTACACAAACAGCAATACATTAAAGGAATAGCTCAGCTCAGTAACTAAAGTAATTGTAACAGTGACAAAAAGAAGCAACAAAAGAAGCAGCATACTGAAAATCAGAGCCCTGTCTTTTCAGGTGAAAAACAAACCAATGTTTTTTAAGCGTCCAGCAGGACAGTAGCACAGAACACTGTGCTTTGAGAAAGGGAAACATTTCTGAACACATTTCAGTGGACACGTTCCCTGGAAGCAGAGCCCACACTCTGACTCCTTTCTGACACCTCAGAAGAAGGTAAAACAGATGTAGGTTTGGAACTGATTTGGAAATTCTAAGCAAGCATTTGATTGACTAAAAACCATTTTAAGTTACAACGTGCATTTCTCTAATCTTTTTCCATTTGCTAATTGAAAACTGCACTATATAGAGCAAGGATTCCTTACCGAAAGATAAGAGGGAGAACTGAGAGAAGGATGTAGCTATGACAATACTTAAATGACATAATTTTGCTTCCCTGCAAAACATAATGACATAAGATTTCGATGCTTTACAGACTACAAGAGATGAGATAAACAAGCACGTTCATACCTGTGGCATTTAAAAACGCATTTCCATTTCCCACCCTCAACATTTAATCTCAGAGAAATCAAGAAATGTAACATCCAAACAACTAGCTTAATGCAAACTGTCACTCACTGACACCGAGGGCACATCAGTTCATTATTTTCCAAAGCCTTCACCAACAGAAATGAAGGCTGAGCATTCAGTGATGATTACGTGTTAGACAAAGAAGAACCATTAACCTCTGGTGCTGCAGACTGTTTTCTCTCCATCCCTTTTTAACTGTACTGTTACACGCTTTTCTGTACATATGCCCGTATGAACTTTGCATAAGTTACATTCAAAAGATTCATTCTATAAGACAATAATTTTCATTTCTTGTGCAACTATTATGAAACAGGATTTTTACGCTAGACAAGTGAACCCCTGAACTGGATTTCATTTGATTTCAAAGTGTCTGTAAAGAGGTGAGTAATATATTTTTTATTATATCTTTCTGAAGATAACTTTAAGTCCTTTTCTTTGGTGTTTTATTTCCTTAGCTCTTCTATTCTACTTCTTGCAGAGTCAAAAAAAACATCTAAGGTGAAGCACCGTCTCTGGATTGCAAGGCTGAGAAAAGAATAAATGGCAAGGGGAAAAGCTCCACTTCAGAGAGCGCGGCATCCTAGCTGAAAAGCACGTAGAGATCTTTGTTAGCAGTCTATGCAGTGTGGACCATCGTCTGTCACAGCCTGCTAGCAAGGATCATGGCATATAATTAGCATGCCCTTCCTACGCTGGCACTGGCAGTGCTGGTCTCTGTTTAAGGCTCTAACCTTATCCAATGAAGGACATCTCCACTTTGCCGTGGAAGGAGGCGAAATGGCCTTCTTGGGAAACTTACAAGTTCTGAAAGAAGCTTCTGCGCTGCTGACAAATTTTCATTTGAACAGATTGCTCGCAAAGTTGTCTCCCACTCTTTCCTCCTTCTCCTGAAATGACTTAGTTGATCTCTGGACTGTTTCTCAGGATTAATGGTTGTATGAAACAAGAAGAGGCACTTCATCCTACATAAATGCTACAGCTTCTGCCTTTATCTGTTTTAAGACAGCACATAAAAATTATCTTATTTGAGGTAGTTTGTAACTTAGGCACATTCACCTTATATCTGACAGGCATGTTTCTGCTGTTCACCTATTAGAAAGGTGATCTGACCAAAAAAACAGTCCTGAGGGGTTTTCTCCAGTGATACTTATTTCCAGCATGATTACCTCTCCGCTTTGACTGATGGCAAATACCAGTGCCAGCATGAGGCAGTTGACAAGGATTACACCCTTTAGCAGCAATATGGACCTCAGTCCTTAGGCCAGGTAGAGCAGTTTTGAAAACATGAATGTAAGCACAAAAAGCAGTAGGTGAAAAGAAGAGGGAGAACCATAATATCCACCCAGACAGTACCTATCTTTCCAGGAATTCACAATAAAGAACTTGATGCGTTTTGTACAGATTTGGATTCAGTAAATTCAGCTTTGACCAAAATCCATTTTTGACTAAAACTCATTTTTGGTTCACATTCATTTCATTGGAAATCAAAGCTGTCTAGGCTAATCTGCAAATTTCTATCAGAGATGTATCAAAACTTTTATTTGTGAAATCACTGATCCCATCTCTCTTCATATTAAGCTCAGTTATCTTTCACATTTTAACCTAAACATCACTATGAGTCATTATTCTGTACCTAATTTATTTGTTAAAATTCTCTTCTTCTTCAGCCTAAGATAATGATGTGGAAGAGTAAGACTACATTCCAGCTGACACCTGTAAAGACATCAAACGTATGTGTTTGTGCTTTAAAGGCATCTCTTCTGCTTGACAAAAAAATACTATGCCAGCCATAGTTTATTCCAGCTTTGTCAGAAACCTTTTTCAAAAGAGCCCTTCACAATGAAATCTCTAAGGCAAGGAGGTGGGAAAACAGTTTTGTAGTCAAAAGACTCACAACACTATGTGTAAAGGGCAGAAAAAAGCTGTAAGGGAAAAAGTGAATCAGTACTTTGCTCCAACTCTCTTGAAGCTTTCAGGTGATGTTCTAAATTATGGCCATTCAATTTATATTAAAGAACACTTTCGATCATAATAAATACACACATATGGCTATTCATGTATTTTTCAAGTGGTTTAGAAGAGTACTCATTGTTAACACACTAATTTCTGGGCAATTAAATACAATGTATTCATCATTCATTATCTGCAACTTTTTCTGATCTTGTTCTCAGACAACTGTTCTATCCTTCCTGGAAATGAGAAACTGAGTTTTCAGTCTCTCTCTAGCCTTACAGTGAGTAGGAAAATGGCTCACGCTCCTGACAACAGCAGGGACAACAGTGACAGCCTGTGTTCCACTCCATGCTCAACACGCTACACGTATTGAGCCATACAGCAAAGCCATGTATCCATTGCTCTGCTGCTCAAAGAGAGATAAGAGTGTCCATTAAAACAGTTTAACGTTTCCTTCACACTAATTAACTACCTAATGAAGATTATAGAAAAGACAAAGCTAGATTCTTCTTAAATGTGCACAGCAAAAGGATGAGGGGCAGTAGGCAAAAATTCACAAAGCTACTGGATATCCACCTGAGTAACTGGATCTATAATAGTTGGCCCTGCTTTGACCTAGGGATTGAACTAGACACTAAGCCTAAATTCTCTGTCCTTGCAGACAGCCATTTTGGTACCCAAAACAGCAGGAAAACATGCTCAGTGCAGACTGATGTGCTGAGACAGTGTCCAAAGAAACAATTCTTCCTCTCTTGCTGAAGTGTTCTTTGGTACACACTCATATCTGGGGTGAAAAGGATCCCACAACTACAAAATAAGAAATACAAATAAAGGTAAATACTGTGACAGATAGTTTTAAAAGAAATCAAGTTTCTACATAGGCAGAAGTAGTTTTCAGGCAAAATTCTTCCCTGTGAAGAGATAGGATAGTTGCAAACTGCTGTCATATGAAAGGACTCCACAAAACAACATTGGTTCCAGTGCACAAGGGTTTCATTATCAAAAAAGCCCTGAGGTAAATTCATAGCAACTTAACTCAAAAGGTTGCAGATTGTCTTTCCCACTCCTAGCAAGATCATGGTTAGCCAGTTAGCAAAGATTAATTAAAAATATCTAGCGTGATTATTTTCAAAAGGGCCACCTGCAGAATCTAAAAAAGCCCAAAGCTGTATTTGCTCCATTTCTAAAAACAAGCAGTAAAAAAAGACTGTCCATAATGCAGCAATACAGATTACAACATTCTCAGTCTGTGATTTGATATTTTCTGCTGTCTCTCCTATCAAATATACTACAAAACTTGAGCCTGACATCTCAAAAATATTACAGACGATGCTGTATTGTGAAGGCAAGAAACCTGTAGGTATAATATTATATACAGACTATAAAAAAAAAAAATATGAAGGCAATAGAGAAAAAATTTGCAATAGCAGCTAAATTGCCATTTGCCATTTGTAATTATATTCACTAAAAACTTACAGGAATTCTACTAGCAAAACAGTGCAAATACTACATTGATACTGGAACTGTAAACTATTTATTACAGAAAAAGAGTGAAATTCCTCACCAATTTCCAACTGGAAAGCAAATACTGATACCTGGAGTACTGTGTTCAGGCTTGGGGCTCCCAGCACAGGAAGGATGCAGAGTTGTAGGAGTGAGCCCAGAGGAGGGCTACAAATCATAGAGTGGGTTGGAAGGCACTGGTTCATCTAGTTCCAGCTCCCCTGCTACAGGCAGGGACGCCTCCCACAAGACCACACTGCTCAAAGCCCCATCCAGCCAGATCACAAAGGGGCTGGAGCACCTGTACTATGAAAAAGGGTTGAAGGAGCTGGGCTTGTTTAGTTTGGAGAAGTTTATTAGGAGACCTCACTCCAGCCTTCCAGTATTTTAAAGGAGCTCACAAGCAGGAGGGAGCCTGACTTTTACGTGGTCTAATAGTGACAGAACAAGGGGGAGTCACTTTAAATTAAAAAGGGAAAAAAATAGGTTAGATGTTAGGAAGAAATTCTTAACTCAGAGAATAATGAGGCACTGGCACAGGCTGCCCAAGGAAGTTGTGAATATACCACCCATGGAAGCATTCAGGGCCAGGTTGGATGGGGCCCTGGGCAGCCTGATCCTAGTGAGTGGCAGCCCTGCCCATGGCAGGAGGTTGGACCTAGATGATCTTCATCATTCCTTCCAAAGCCATTCTATGACTCTATTATAAAGAAATAACCAAGAGTTGTGGGAAGTGCAGGAAATAATTGTTTCATACAAAAGGTAGAGTTAGTGGGTACAAACAATATACATTTTTTGTTTTTCTTACAATAGTTGTGCACAGTTATAAGCATTCTGTTCTTGTATGGCTAAAGTCTCTCTCAATTTACATTTAATAGGTTTCATCTTAAGTTACAGTTGTTAGATATTATTGAATTGCTAGGACAGAAATTCATTACCTTGTAAACTGATCAATACTTTTAATTAATGGACAAGTACTTCTTAGCCAATATTAGGTGATTAAATATTCTGACCTAAAAGTTAAGTGTAATACAGCAGATTAAATAAATAAGATGTCACTGTGTTAAACTGATATCAAAAACAACTGCAGTTTTGGTACTCTGCTACATCAACAGGTTCTTCTACCCTAAGAGTGAATGGTAAGTACAGAAAGCATGGGATGGTTCCCACTTCCTTAAGTGAGGCTGCCCCTCTTTCCAGAGAGCTGCCGGAGCAAACCAGAACTATACAGTTTCAAGTCAGTGATTCCTGAAAGGGGGTAAGTTTTTGTGTGAGCATGAAACAAACCTTTATATTATCTACTAGTTTTGTTTGTGCTTCTCACTGGAAGGTGGTGTTCTTCAAACACACATAGGTATCACTAGAAAGACCAGACTGCCTGGGAAGTCAAGCCAGGACTTAAGCAACCCATGGAAGGCCCAACAATTCCGAAGTCTCAATAATGCTAAAGCACTGGGTTATGCTGTTCACAGCAAACAGAGCGAGATGCGATCAGGACAAGCAGCTGAAGGGAGAAAAGATAGTGAGTGAAGATGTAAAAAGCTTCTTCATCTGTCAATTGGTTTTCATGTCCCAGCATTTTCATCAACGCTTTATGTTACTGAAATTTTGTTGAAAGAAATTAACCAAAATTGAATTGGAGATGAATGCTACAATTACACAGGACTGAAAAGCTATCAGGAATGCCAGTAAAGCAACAGAGAAGGCTATTTAAGCAGCCAGAATCAGAAATTAGATTAATATGATTCTACCTTTTTTTTTTTTCCTGTGTGTGAAAATATGGTTTGCGTTATTTCTAGTCATAAAACATTTCGCATTTCCCCAAACTGCAGTATATTACAATTTGAATTTTGAAATTGGAAAAAGAAAATAATAATTTTTAAAAGTGCAGCTTAAAAACAAGAGGCTTCAATTTCCCTTGCAGCACATAAGCATTTTTTCCACAAAAATACTACTGAATGTTCAACTATCTTCTTAAAATTTACTGTTGAAAATCTGAAAATTATGTTTAGGCACTTACAAGCAAATACTGGATTTCAGTCCAGATTTATGTGATGGCTTGAATACATTTTTAATTGCTAACTTACTACTAATGCTCCTGTAACATCATTAACCTTCTTAAGATTTAAAACCCATCATAAACATTTATGAAATTCACTTCCCAAGATCACGCCAGCGAGGTTTAAAAACACATTAGCATACAAGTACAACAACAAGGGCAAAACATGTCATAAAACTATCAAAAACATATCAAATATGGACAGTTAAGCTTATTAGCACTTAAAGATTGCAAATAAATGTGCATAAATTCTCAGGGTAACATTACATACAATATAATGCATACCACCCTGCTACATCAGCACTGAACAGAAAGAACACAACAGGAAAGCAGACAACTGCTTTTCTCCAAATTCACATAGTACTCATTTTTGCCTGTACAATATACATGAATTTTTCTAAATGAATGGGTTATGAAGAGTTTGGTACATCTTTAACTGTTGAAGACAAATGCAAATGTTGAAAATAATTCAAAAGCTGTAAATCCAGTGATAATTCTCTCCAAAAATATTTTAGACAGTCACCTGTTTTGTTCAGTTCTTTTTGTAGACTATGGCTGCTTTTTACCAAGCACTTACAGATATTACTGCCACACAAATACTTAGTTAATCTTATCTTTGTACTTTACAGATGGCAGGAACAATGTTTAATGTTATGATCTGTTAAAATGACTTATATTTAATCTCAATGCAATATTATCACTTACTACAGCATATTTATTTTTAGATTTATATCTGTCTATATTAATTGTACTCAATTGCAAACTGCCACTCAAACTGAAAATTTAACAGCCTCTTTATCATATAGTACATTTTTTCTGAACGTGTCAAGATTCAATAAATGCTGTACTTCACAAAAGAAATGCACTTCCTCACATTGTCAAAATACAGGAAGTAGCCCAGAAAATCCTCTACCAACACACATCATAATTGTAATAATACTTACACATCTGATGTCTTATATCCATTTATTAATGCATTTGCCTAATGCATATTTAGAATTCAAGTAAGCTACCTTATCTCCATCTGTATTGCCTGCATCTACTGGGTTAACCATGACCTCGATATAAAACATTGATTGCCCCCCTCTACTTTGCCATAACAAGGGTCTGAATTGCAGCACTGCAGGAAGAATGGAGCGTTGTAGGAGCAGGTCCACAAAGATGATCAAAGCACCTCTACTATGAAGAAAGACTGAGGGAGCTGGGCTTGTTTAGCTCGGAAGAGGACGAGCTCTGAGCAGACCTCACTGCAGCCTTCCAGTATTCAAAGGGTGCTTATAAGCAGGAGGGAGCCCAATTTTTTTTACCAGTCTAATAGTGACAGAACAAGGGGGAATAGCTTTAAACTAAAAAGGGAAAAATTAGGTTAGATGTTACTAAGAAATTCTTAACTCAGAGAGTGGTGAGGCACTGGCACAGGTTGCCCAAAGAATCTATAGATGTTCCTTCCATGGAGGCCAGACTGAACGGGGCCCTGAGCATCCTGATCTAGTGGGTGGCAACCCTGCCATGGCAGGAGGGCTGCAAGTGGATGCTCTTAGGTCCCTTCCAACCTAAGCCGTTCTATGATTCTGTGAATACTCAGAAGAATACATACTGTTTTAAAAGGAGTCATAAGTTAAAATTGTTACAGTACCTAAAATCGACAGTAGCCAGTGCTGCAGCAAAAAAAAAAATTGTTTAACAAAACTAATTCTAAAATAGTTATGTGGCACATATGGTCTTTAGTACAGCAGTCTAGAAACCTAGGCTTTGTAATGTCAAAGTGACGTTTCCTGTATTACACAAATTAATTTCAACTTCCTTACCTTATTTACTTCCATGATTTCCCTTCTCTCTTCACTAGCAAAACGAAGCTGACTAGCAGCACCACGATCATCATGCTTGGAGCCATCTTCTTCAACATATGGAATAAGTTGCTAAGAAGACAAAAAAGGTCAGCTTTTAAAAAGAAGAAAAAAGGAAAAAAAACCTGAAAAGGGGAGGTACTAACAGTTTCCTTCAAAGGTTCAAACATCCTGAACAGAAAGAAATGCAGACAGGCATACTTCATCACCTCAAAACCAACAGCCTCACAATGGCCTCAGACATTTCTGTGCTTCAAAAAAATACGACAGCACATATTGTCACACCTAGACTGCAGGCAGAGCTCAGTATTAGCATTTTAAGAGGTCAATCACAGGTAACCTTGGATTTTTGAACTCTATAGACTGTGATTTTAAAGCTTACTACTCCACACTATGAAATAACACAAACACGAAGTTATCATTATTATCAAGTATTTCAGTGATGTCCCAAACATAATTTATGACAGACTTTACACATGGAGATTAAATACTTGGTTAATATCCTAATTATGACTTTCTATTTTATTGGTTTTCTGTTTGGCTGTTCTTAAGATCAGGCCCACAGTTATCTAATAGGAATTTCTCCATAGCGATTTTCCACTGTAATCTCCTCAAGCGCATAATGCACTGCATTTTTTTGTAAGCTTTTGAGAAGTCAAGATCTTCAGTAAAGAGTTTCTAAATGAATATCAGTATGCTCTTGATCAAAAAAAATTTTTTAAAGACTCAGGAAATGTACTAGCTACAAAACACATACATGGATGGTGCCAAACTCTTCCAAAGTAACACCTTGTTCAAAAATAGTTATAACGTACTTACAATTTAAACATCACATGCACACATGGAGTCTGTTGAATTTTCTGTCCTTAACTGAGAAAAGCTAAAGCTGGTAGCAAAAGTACACCCTTGATCAAATCTACATACTACAGACAAATGAAATATTAGTAAGTGATGCAAATGAGCAAGACAGTTCAAAAGTCAGGGAACAGGTTGCTGATATAACGCATATTAACTTGTTACTCAGGTTGAGGTGTAATACGAAGCATTCAGCAGCAACCTTCAGCATTCTGCTGAAAACTCTGACTTGCTCTGAAAATCATATTTTCTTCCACATAAGCTTTTGGAGGCCACGCTCATTAAACTTATTGAAATGGACAAAGAATGCCGTGTTACCCTCTGCCCTGTAAAGCAAAATAGCATAGCTATTAAACACTCTTGGAAAAAGCTCCTCCTCTTTCTTAAGGAAAAATAATGCCCTGAATAGAATGTCTCCTTTGAAAACCTCCCATCTGTAAGAAAAGCTCTGAATTCAAATAAAGAACTACACCTAACACACAAATAAAGCAGTTCTCTCTAGTGAGAGAATTCTGTAACTGTATCTCCTTCACAACAATCTTACAGCTTATTATGTTGGCTAAAAGGAAGTTGATAAGATCACCTATTAAACTAGCAGTACACATTAATGAAAGAAATATAATATTTTTATACTGTTAGTAGACACTAACTTAATTGATGGAAGGTAATGACACAATTTCTTGCCATAAACAAGAAGCAAACAGGAAAAAAGAGACAGAACAACAAAGTGGTTTTGGTAGTGCGAGTTAAGAAACGTGTAACATCAACCTAAATTTTATAGCCTGGGAATTCAATGGACTCACCTTGGGGTTTCTGCCTTAAGTGGCAGCAAACTAACAAACTGCTGCACACCCTTTGTAATACTGCAGATAACATGCAGATAAATCTATCCCAATGCTATCTCATAGAAAGTAAGGAGTTACCTTCCTAATCTTAAAATAATTACTGAAGTGGGTATCTAACTTAGCATTTACTACTGACTACTCAGAATAAAGTACAGTGACAACATTGTCACTGATTAGCAGCAGTGATGTTCAAAATCACTTCCCAGTGTCAGGGAAGAAGACAGGCTGAGTAGCTATGGATGTATATATATTTTAAAAGCAACAAAATCTAAGCAAAAATTGAAGTATTTAAGACAAGTGGATCGGTGACAATGGAATTGCACATGTTTTCAGACATCAGTCATGCTCTTGCAGCCCAGAAAGCCAACCATGTCCTAGGCTACGAAAAAAGAAGCATGGCCAGCAGTGCAAGGGAGGTGATCCTGCCTTTCTGCTCTGCACTGGTGAGGTCTCACCTGCATCCAGATGAGGAATCCTCAGTCCAGGAGAGATGTGGACTTGTTGGAGTGCATCCTGAGGAGGGCCACAAAAATGATTCAAGGGATGGAACACCTCTCCTATGAGGACAGGCTGAGAGAGCTGGGGCTGGAGAACAGAAGGCTCTGGGAAGACCTGATAGCAGCCTTTCAGTATCTAAAGAGGAGCTACAGGAAAGAAGGGGACAGACTCTGAAGCAGGGTCTGTGGTGACAGAAGAAGGGGAAACGACTTCAAGCTCAAAGAGGGGAGATTTAAGTTAGATATACAGAAAAAATTCTTTTTACAGTGAGGGTGATAAGGAACTGGAACAGGTTGCCCAGAGATATGGTAGATGCCCCATTCCTGGAGACATTCAAGGTGAAGCTGGATCAGGACTGGGCAACCTGGCCTGGCTGTGGATGTCCCTGTTCACTGCAAGGGAGCTGGACTAGATGGCCCTTAGAGGTCCATTCCAACTCTAAGGATTTTATGATTTTATGAATTACTACAGAATTAGATCATGAGCCACAGAATAACTGCCTGTCTTGTTCAGTGCAGTATCATTAAGAAGGCTAACAATTGGCAGTAAGGAGGGAAGAGCAGTGTACATACATTCCACTAATGACTTAGAAACCGGGAGTCAGTTAAGTAAAAGAAAAAAGCCATTAAGTAATTTGACTGTTTAAAAAAGAAGTTTGTCTATATTCGTTAAAGATAAGGTTAGAATGTCAAGTCATTTAACAATATGATTGAGAATATCAGTGAAAATTTGAAATAAGAATTTAAGAAACATAATAAGAGAAATGATGTGACACTTTCATTCACCCTGACACGAGGAAAGTGAGCATTTTGTTAACTTCACAGCAACAAATACTAAGTCACTAAAAGGAAAAAGAATTGCAACTACTGCAATTGTTTCACCACAGACTTACTCCACTAAAACAACCTCTTAAAAGAAAAACTTCCCCTGACCCATTTTTTCCCCTAGAGGAAAAAAACTGGTGAGTGCACACAGCCTGAGGTAAACAGCTAGGATTTTAAACGAAGTCTGACCTGTAATTTGTAGATACAGAAAGATACTCACTTCTATGGGAATAGGATCGAGTCCAGCACAGTTTTCATTACATTTGTCATAGACTAATCTCAGTTTTCTGAAGAGTATTGATAGCTGACGGAGATGCTCCTGTAGTTTTCCCAGTCTGTCTTGATATGTTCCAGTATGATAAGTTACACCATTTGGCAACTTCAGAGAACCAAAACACAACAGTGATAAATATTATTTTCTCTTATAGGAAATAAAAAAATCTAAGACAAATGAGAGATTTTTTGTGCATTCTACTATAAGACCATCACAATATTCTCACAGTCTGAAATTTCTATTTTCTTTATCTGTAAAAATCTGAATCTTATTTGCCCATCTCATGTGCCAAATCACTGCTCTCAAACAGCTTCATGTCTTCCACATCCTGGTCATTATCGATCACTGTAACTTTCAGTGAATGCCTTAATCCATGCTTAAGCATGGCTGCTGTTGCCATCTGAGAAACTTTCTGCCTGAACCCAGGTCACATTTCAGACAATCAATGCGAATTCAATGTAATACTCTGTGTATCTACATAAAATATTTACAGAAGGAAATTTCAGGAGACATGAAAATACAGGGAAAAAGGGAATTGGAGTGATTACTTGCATGTTTGTCTCTGAAGTTGAGAGCATGCACTTCTGCTGTCAACAGAGAAACACGAAAGAAGTTTGTACATTCTCTTCAGTACGTAATCAAGAGGATTCTGTCCACTTTAATAATGAATAGAATGTCACAACATTTTAAGTGGAAAATACTACAGAAGAATGATATCACTGATCAATGACAACTCCTTTAAAATTACTCCGTAGAGGTTAACAAAAACAGAGAAACATAAACATCATATAAATACACTTCACTATTCACTAAACAGTTATCTTCCCCTTATCTCCAAATTGGAGGGATGTGGATTTGATGGATGGACCACTCAGCGCATAAAAAAACTGGTTGAAAGGCCGCAGACAGAGGGTGGTCATCAATGGCTCTATGTCCAGGTGGAGGCTGGTAATGAGCAGCATCCCCCAGGGGTCTGTCTTGGGACCGGTGCTCTCTAACATCTTTATCAATGACATCGATGACAGAATCAAGTGCACCCTCAGCAAGTTTGCTGACAACACCAAGCTGAGTGGTGCAGTGGACACGGTAGAAGGAAGGAATGACATTCAGAGGGACCTCAACAGGCCAGAAAGCTGGGCTCAGGTGAACCTGATGAGGTTCAACACGGCAAAGTGCAAAGTTTTGCACTTGGGCCGGAAGAATCCCAGGCATCCATACAGACTGGAAGGAGAGGTCCTTGAGAGCAGCCCTGAGGAGAAGGATCTGGGGGTCCTGATGGATGAAAAACTCAACATGAGCCAGCCGTGTGCTCTTCCAGCTCGGAAGGCAAATGGTATCCTGGACTCCATCAGAAGAGGGGTGACCAGCAGGGACAGGGAGGTGATTGTCCCCCTCTACTCTGCTCTTGTGAGGCCCCATCTGGAGTACTGAGTCCAGGTCTGGAGCCCCCAGTACAAGAAAGACAGGGAGCTGTTGGAGAGGGTCCAGAGGAGAACCACAAAGATGATCAGGGGACTGGAGCACCTCCCCTATGAAGACAGGCTGAGGGAGCTGGGCTTGTTCAGCCTGGAGGAGAGAAGGCTGCGGGGTGACCTCATTGCAGCCTTTCAGTACCTAAAGGGAGCCTTAAAACAGGAGGGGAGTCAACTCTTTGAAAGGGTTGATAACTGCAGGACAAGGGGAAATGGTTTTAAGTTGAGGGAGGGGAGATTTAGGTTGGATGTCAGGGGGAAATTCTTTACAGAGAGAGTGGTGAGGTGCTGGAACAGGCTGCCCAGAGAGGTTGTGGATGCCCTGTCCCTGGAAGTGTTCAAGGCCAGACTGGATGGGGCCCTGAGCAGCCTGGTCTAGTATTAAATGGGGAGGTTGATGGCCCTGCATGTGGCAGGGGGGTTGGAGATTCATCATCTTTGAGGTCCCTTCCAACCCTGGCCATTTTGTGATTCTGTGATTAATATAATTCTGTGAAACAGTCATTAAGTACATTTGGAATATATTTACTGCGGTAGAAATGACAATTCAGCATTTGTGAATGTTCTCCATGTTTACTAAATACACAGGAACAGCCAAATGTATTCAGAGTTGTATATGTGTCTCCAACAAACCCCTTTTTCAAGGCAGTTTCGCCTATTCATGTATTTAAATGTCCCAAACTATCTTCATGTGCACACAATCACTTAGTAGTAAAAACACAAGAAGGGAACTGATGATCACCAAATTAGAAATAAAAAAGAAGTTTTCTCACCTGCATGTTCCTCAGTAACTGGAAGATTTCCATGGTTCGAAACACAATGTCCTGCACGGTTTCCTGGCCAATACGGCACAGAGATGCTGTATTGACCTCCCTAGCTGCCTGAGCCTGCGTTCCTGAGAATGCACCGGGAGGCATCCCCGCCCCGGCCAGAGGTGGGGTTGACATCTCTGGATGCCAACGGGTCCCACTGAACCAACCTGCACACAGATAAGACAACGATGAAGTATTTGTCTGAGACTATTCTAACAAACAAACTTCTTACCGTGGCTATACCTCCTCTGCTCAACAGGTCGTCTTGTCTGAGACAAAATCATTCAACAAAAATTAGAGGGCTCTGTGACATCCCTTGGCTTCGGACAGGGCTCCTTAAATCATCAAGGTTTTCCGGGCCTCACGGAGCTGCACGCGGGGTCCTGCCCCAGTGCTACATGGCGATACGCAGGGCTGCCCGATTTCATACGCGCAGCTCTCGGCTCTCCCGCCCCTCGACCCAAACCGCAGCCTGCGGGCCGCTGTCCTGGCATCGCTCGGCAGCTACAGGCCCGTCCTGGACAAGCAGGCCAGCCGGCGGCCGCCCAGGCGGTACGCGAGGAACCGCGCGGGCGGATCGAGACAGACACAGCGCTAAGGCCACCCTCGGCGCCGAGCGGCGACCGTTACTCACAGGACCGGAGAAAGCCGGGGCGCCGCGTCGCCGTGGAAACGCGGAGACGGAAGCAGTGTGCGGCGCCCGGAAGAGCGGGCCATACGAGGCGGAAGTGACGTCACGGCAGCGGGGCGGGGCTGGCTGGCTGCGGCTGTGGCATTGGGCAGGTGGCTGAGGCTGGGTGGGTTCACGCTTGTGGCGCAGGTTTTGTATCAAAGGGGAGCGGCTGGGCAAACTGCTTTTGGCTGGTCACGTTGGGAAATTGCTGGTTACGTACTATCCGTTTATATGTGTACCACTGCACTTCTTGTGTAGGTATATTTTCACCCGTATAGAAACGCCTTCTGGTTTCACAGTATTTGAATGCATGTAAGATGCTTCTCTGTTGTCTGCCCTGGCTGCTTAGGCTATGCTAAGGTAGTTCATAGAATCGTAGAATCATTTGAGTTGGAAGGGAGCCTTAAAGCCCATCTATTGCAGCTCCCCTGCTATGAGCAGGGACACCTACAGCTCCATCAGGTGCTCAGAGCACAGCCCAGTTTGTCTCCAGGGATGGAGCGTCTGCCACCTCTCCGTGCAACCTGTCCCAGTGTCTCACCACACTTGTCATAACAACCTTCCTCCTTATATCCGATTGAAATTTCCCATCTTTTAGGTTGAAACTAATTTTCCTTTTTCCTATCAAAACAAGTAGTTGAGTTGGTGCTGTTTCAAAGCACGAACAGTGATTCCTGTGCAATGAAAAAGAAACTCCATCTAAAAGGCATAGGGTAAAGTTTGTGAGGGCTGGTAGGTATTCAGTAATTACTGCACTACATGGTGTTTATTGTCTGTCTTTATAATTGAAAGTAAATTTCTTCACAAGCAAAAAATGGGGTCAAAGTTTGTCTTTTTGCGTTAATGTCTTACCTAAAACTCTGGTTTTGATAAGAACCTGAAATGCAGAAGAGGGCATTTAAAGTAGTTGTACTGTAGTAGCTGTAATAAAAATGATGTTATGAATGATCTTTTGTACAAAATGCATTGCGTTTGTAGTGCTGTAAAAAACAAAAACAATAAAAAGCCAGAAATGACTCATAATATACCACCCTTGTTTAAGAAAGAAGGAACATTCAGGGACAGAACTGTACAATGTCAGAGACATTTTGCTGCAGAAAGCATTTCTTTTTCCTTCAGATTAATGAGGGGAAACACCACCCCATTGCTTAAACTGAAGGTTTTGTTGCCTGGCTGCATTCTCTTTGTAGCATGCTCTTTTAGCCAAGGCACAATGTAAATAATTATGAAGTATTTTAACAAAATTTTAACATAAAAAAAAAAAAAAAGAATAACAGCAAAAGGAGTGTCTTAAACTGACTGAAAAAAAAATTGCTCATAAAAATGAGAGGGAGATATTTTCAGACAGCAAAAGAATATCCCACTGTGTCTGGCTAGACAACGCATGGGAAAAGCAGCCCCCAGAGAATTTCTGAGGGCTTATGTGAAGGCTTGCATCTCAGTTTACTGTACATTAAGGAAATGATGCAAGAACTGTTCAAGAGCTGAGCACAAAGGGTAATGTTTTCCTTTTTTGATTGTGTGCCCAAGAGCTCTGTTCACACTGCTTAACTTGCTGCTCCAAATCCAATGGCATCTTAAGTTCCAGAGAGTAATGAGCGATTCAGACCACCTACTGTTCAGTGCTGCCAGACACAGGCTCCATGTACAGTCAAATACTAAAGTATATGACTGCTACTTGCAGTAGGCAGTTGAAATGTAGAGCCAAGTCTGCATGCAAAGAGTGCTGAAGAATGTTGCTAGGGGACCTTCACGTTCTTCACTGCCGATCTATGGAGCCATCTAAGTCTGATTTTTCACTACTAGGAGAAGGAATCTCCTTTCAGATAAGGAATGTTTTTATGTTTGGATGAGAAAAAGATGAATATACATTTTGCTTTCTAAAAAAATCAGTTAAGCTGTCTTTGTGTGTCTTCAGTTTGGTCTTGGACCAAACTACTTTCATCTGGAAGGTGTCCAAATCAGACAGCTCATCTTTCACATCCGTTTCAGTTTCTGTGGCATCAGTTCAACCAGTGTCTTAGGATGCTGCCAACTACTACACAGTATCAAGTCCTTGTTTTCTCTCTTCCTACACAGGGTTGTAGAGAAGCTAACAAAAAACTAACAGAGAGCATGCATCTACACAGGATCTTCTAGTCCTCTGAAGTTTAAACCAAATTTCTAATTATAACTTTTTGAACAGTAACTAGTTCAGACGTTATCATTTTCAAAGTAATAATAAGTTATGATACTGTAGTATTTTTAAGAGATTCTAACTCAAACCATGAGTAACTACAAAGTTTGTGCGGCTGTGTTTTATCAACAAAGCAAAAATACTCAATAGAGAGGTAAGAGAATATTTTGTTTTCTTTCAGTTTTCTGTAAAACAGTCAGTGCGCTTGCAAGGCAGCATGAATCATTCTATTTAAAAACAAACAGAAGTATTGGAATTCCTGGATCATCATTTGTTTTGCTTGTGTAAAGAAAAGTATGCTCACTCTCAGGTTCCCCTCATGGTATTTCTTAGCAGCAGTGCTTTGATACTGCTTCCAGAGCGACAGATGGGCTTTGGGGAAAAGTGTTAACCAGGAAAGGACTTTCATTCTCAGTCCTGTCCCATTCTGTGTTTATGTGTGGATTCAAGAAAAAATAATGGGACTTTCTGGAACCTTAGCCAACAATAAACAGGCAAGGCACAATTTTATTGTTACCAAGCTGTGATAGATAACAGCACAGCACATAAATTTTTTAGTGTGTTTGTGGCCAACACAGACAGTAAAACTGGGTGGAGTTTAATTCAACAAAGATTGCATTTATAGGACAAAGGAAGCATTTAAGGACTGTGATTAGGTGAGATGGACTGTGGGGTTTTTGTGTGTCATGTGGGCTTGGAGTGTTGGTTGTTTTTCCCGTAGTGTTGTTTTCCCCAGCCAAACAAGCATCTCCATCAACTGTGAAGGCAGCAGTTTAGAGGGAACCAGGACCATCCGTGATAGTGCTAGACTGGATGAGATAAATCACATCAGCTGGAAGTCCAAAGCATCAGAGCACAGGGTGTAATCCATGACTGTCTGATAGAGGATTGATGCAGCAGTTATCTGGATGGAGGAGAAGCTGTGGATCGCGCAGTTATAACAACTCTACCATTGTGTGATTCTGTCGTGCAACTCTTTGGTGCTGCGGATGGTAAAAGGACTGGAAGAGATCAATGTGGAAGCCTCCCTGCTTGCTTCTTCTCCTTCTTCCCCATAGTATCCTGTGTGTTCATGGAAGCAACTTCAATGAACAAGTTTATCTGTATTTGCCCTGTGTTGATGGTGCATTCTGCTGAGGGTGAGAGATGCAGGCAGTAACCAAATTCAGTGCTTTGCCATAGCCAAGACTCTGCATGTTCACAGAGTACACAGAATGATTTGTAAAACTGAATTTCAGAAAGGCCTTATGATGTTCTCTTAGATATCGTCAGGACCTGCATTACCTGCATAACTAAGTCACATCCATTTCCCACACTATGAAAACATGGTAGACTTTAGGAGCTTTGTCAGATTACAGCTGTCAGGTAAGTGTGATAGTTCAGTGTACATTTGGTGAGCTTAACAGATGATGTAGCTTGCTTTCTTTTTGTCCTTTTGTAGCAGGTACTGCAGTTCCATTTCTTGATCCTAGCAGGTTCATTACATCATATATTCTCTACCTCTTCAAAGTTTTCTTTTTGACTTTCACTTCAGAAATATCATCCTTGGTCTATTTCATGCTTCTTTTAACACTTGTAATCATGCCACAAAAAGTCAGAAAGTGTTTTTACTGGTTGTTCACAACACCTAAGAACTAGTTTCATCTTCCAGTTTTGGTATGAAGAATGTTTACACGGTAGACCATTATGCCCAGTAGTCTGTATTATCAGAGAATCAAAGAATCATAGAATCAGTCACAGAATCATAGAATGGCCTGGGTTGAAAAGGGCCACAATGATCATCTAGTTTCAACCCCCCTGCTATGTGCAGGGTCGCCAATCACCAGACCAGGCTGCCCAAAGAAACATCCAACCTGGCCCTGAATGCCTCCAGGGATGGGGCATCCACAACCTCCTTGGGCAACCTGTTCCAGTGCGTCACCACCCTCTGTGTGAAAAACTTCCTCCTAATATCTAACCTAAACCTCCCCTCTCAGTTTAAGACCATTCCCCCTTGTCCTATCACTATCCACCCTTGTAAACAGTTGTATTCTCAGTGTGATAGTGACGGAAGAGTAAAGAAAGGATTAAAAGGAAGTGCCCGTTTATTTTGCAACCATTCAGTTGCTTGTCTTTGAAGAGACATCTTGGATTCCCAACATAATCTCAATATTGTGACCCAAACCTACCAGCAGGCCTATCCTGTCTCCTTTGGTCTCTCTCTATCCAGCTCCTCTTCCACAGCCTATAGCTATATCGGTGCTCTAAATGCTAACACTGCGATGTATGCAAGCACAACAGCATCATTTTTTTTTTTTTTTCTTTTGCCTTGTGATAGACATTCAGATATTTTCCCTGGTACTATTTTTTCCTGAGCAAATGGTATCTTGTGGGACTAACTGTTTGGACAAGGAGTTTTTCCAAATTGCAGTTTATATAAACTGTATGTCTTCATCAGCCAGATGTGCATTAATGATGCCTGTGGTTGGATTTTCAGCATGCTTGTCTGATGGCTTCTCCTGGGGCTTGCACAAAAATGGCTTGGAAATGGAACATTTGCAAAGAAGCAGATGCTGGCAAAAGAAAGCATTACAGTGAGATGTAAAATATGTGCACTGTAATTTATACAGGCAACTAGCTTCTGGAAAACTTGACCTCTGTCCAGCAGAGGACAGAAACCTATCCAAAGAGACTCCTGAAGCAGTGACTGGTACCCAGTGCGACAGAGGTGGAGGGACTAATTATATTTTTGCAGCTGTTACACCAATGCTGGAAGTATGTTGGTGACAAATGACTTTGTGGTGGACAGCACAGTAGTTAATATAGGAGAAAAGCTAGTGTACACTGTGGTTTGACTGCTTATGTGCTATTAGCATTATAATCAGG